TGGGGGTGGGGGTGGGGGTGGACTGGTCGCGCTCGTTCCTGCGGCCTCTCGTGCGTCTGTCCGCGCTCTGCGCATGCCGAAGCCTGGGGCATGCTGGGTACAAAGCCTCGCAGGAATCGCTGAAGGCCAGCCCTAAGGCGTGGGGCCGGATGGATTGGGTGGTTGTGCCGAGGAAATGCAGCAAAGTGAGGGTCGCGGTTGGGCCCACCCACCCAGCAGCAGGGCGGCGGCCGCCACTGCTGCCAGCATCACTTGAAGGCCTGCGGCCATCCTTGCGCGCGGTGAGTTGACCTGCACGCGCGTAGGCCAGCAGCGGGGTGGGCGCCGCAAATGCGAGGGGCAGCTTGGCTGACTGTGTGCGGCCCGGGGTGGGCCATGGCAACGCTGCATGGCGCCCTGGTGCGCAGCGTCCAACACGCATCATCAGCACGCGGAAAGCAAAGCTCAGCTTCATACGTTTGCGAAACGGGCGCGCGAGATAGCTCCAAGCATCTACGGAACCTTTTGGGAACCGGTGAGATCTGAGCACTGAAGCACAGCGTCGAGACCTTGCGCTGTACAGTGCTTGCGTACGGTACTCCGTCGAAAACCAGTGTGATTCACCGTGTGGAGTTGGACGTCACTGTGGGGCGGCTTTTTGAAGGGGTGATCGGCAGTTGCGCAACCAGAGCCAGTGACGGCGGGACTGCACGACTGATTGCCGGTGAGGTGATCAGCACTCCGCCCTCTGCTAACGAGCCACCCAGCATCTTTGCAGTGCCTTACGTCCCTCCGTCACCACCTGCAACAACAGTGAGCATGGCATAGGGAGCGCTTCGGCCAACAAACTGACCAAGTCAGAATGCTGTGCTATGGGATGATGACGTGCAACAGTAGAGCTGCATTTTCGCCCCTTGTTGTAGTCAGCTACACACAGCACACGATATTGAAGTCTTCCAAGAGGAGGAGACGCAGGAAGGGACACATGATGGGACAAAGAATGCTGGGGTTTCTGTGCATGTGCGTGTCTGCTGCTTGTGCAGGGAGAGTCAGGACGCAGCGTGCAGCACGGACCGGGGCTGCGGGCAGGGTTGATGGTTAATAGTGGCCCACAGCCCTGGTACTGACTGAGAGCTGTACAGTCTCCACCACGGGGCTGGCAGCTTCAATCGCCAACGCACGTTGGGTCGGTTGCCGTTGCTCTCCAACTGCCGCACAAACACAGCTTAGACCCATGTCTGAAGTCCACACGTCCCCGTGTTCTCGAGGCCCACCCGGAATAGAGCCCAGGCGTCCTGTACTGCTAGTGGCAACCACTGCCTGCGCCCTCCGCCTTTCAAGGTGCACGGAGTGTGGGTGGGGTTGTACCCATCCACATGCGTGGGCCATCCACACGGGCCATCCACATGCAACCCTGCCTGTGCCCACGACTGTCCAGGACCAGCACGTGGTTCTGACGCCGCTAATGACTGGATTGCACCGCGCGCCCTGGTGTTTCCAATGCCTCTTGCGACCGCCTGCAGCCGCCCCAGCTTCGCGTTGCATAAGCCGCGTGTGCTGTGCAACGCCGTGCGTCTTCCTCTGATGTCCCTCCATGGACCCACACACCCTGCTTCGTGCCCTGTGTACCGGCCCATCCAGTGGCGTTACCCAATACCCGATGCTCCTCGCACGGCTTGATAATCAAGCCGAAAGCAGCCACACCGGGCACTACTTCACAGGCGAGGTTGAGACAGGCGCAGTGCCGCCCCTCACAATTAGAGCGCGCAGCGCCCCACGTCCTAGATTTGGGCCCCGGCAGCGCCGAAGCCCCCCCAATCCTCACACGCCGGGCGAGCTGCGGTCTGACATGGCCCGGTTCGGCCGGGAGTACTCAGCGGGGTCTTGCACCGCCTTGTACGCGCGCATGGCGTTGCCCAGCCACTCCAGCTGCACCCATGTCTTCGCAGCGTACGCGTCCCATTCACCCGCGCTCTGGCCGGGGTGCAATTCGCCGTGTGCATCCAGCACCTGCTAGGCGTGCGGGTGTCGTGCGCGACGCACCCTCTGCATGCATGGTGGCCGCAGAGGCACACTTTGCATGCTCTCAACACTCGCATGGCCATGCACGTGCGCTCCCAGACTCGTTGCATTGCATTGATAACAAGCAACTGGACACATGTAGGTGGTGCCGCTAGTCTCGGCGTGCAAGGTGCTGGCAGCTGGGTGGCTGTAGGCACCACGAGAGGGTTGTGCGTGTCGCTGGTGTGTGTTGCGCCATCCCACCTGCTGCCCCTGACTCCCTCCTCACCTCCTGTGCTTTCGGCACTGCCAATATCGAGGACACCGGCAGGCACCCCAGCTCTGAGAGCATCGGCCGCAGCGCCATCGCCGCGCGCTGGCCGCCCCACTGGCCGGACGAATAGGTGCAAATCGCGCTGGGCTTCCAGGCGTAGAGGCTGCCGCCAAAGTGTGAGAGCGTGTTGGACAGCGCGGGGGGGACCGTGTGGTTGTACTCGGGGCTCACCATTACGTAGCCCTGATTGGCGGGATAGAGGTGGGGGGCAGCGGTTAGGGGCATTTGGGCAGTGCATGCAGCATGACCCGACACGAGCGTGCGCAAAGCGCGGGAGTGTGGCGGTATCGTCGGTCCTTGGGCACGCGGGCGGCCAGCCTTGAGGCAGTTATGATGGGGAACTGGGTTTGCCGGCGGCGCCCGGCCGTATGCTATCCTGGGCTCTGCTACGCTGCGCTTTGCTGTGTTTTGCGCTCTGCTATCATAGCAGAGCGCAGCATTATGCTGCGCTGTGCCCACCTCTGCGTCCCTGATGTCTGATGCCAGCTTTTCCAGCACCGCGGGCGCTTTGCCTGGCGGGTAGGCAAAGTGTGGCTGCACCAGCATCGGCAGC